ACCCATCTTTAATGAAAACACCTAAAACATCTGCATGAACATTTAAATATAGGAACAAACTGCAACTTATCTATTTCTTGGAAGTAAATATCCAAAAAAGCTAAAAGTATAACTTGTAGATAAATTAATAAAATAAGTACAAATTATATTTTTACAAAGTTAATTATATAATTAACAAAGTTAATTTGAATTTTTCACGTGCAGCAGGATTTATGCTGCCATGTTTGTTTGCTCATCTCTTTTTTGAAAGCGTTGGGTCTGCAGTCCAAAGATCGTAACTTCAAGTTCCAACGATCGAGTCATTCGCCTTTAATTCTTTTAGATATAGATAGGAGAGAAGCAAGGGGAAATGGAAATAGAAGGCCAAATGCTACACCTGCCACATAACCATAGGTAAAACTGCATTCAAAATGAGGCAATTTGGAACATATGGCATAGAAACGGAAATCAGCTTACGCCAAAACCTTAATGAAAAGAAGTGTGCCACGAATGGTTCTCATTATAGAAGTATTATGGAGGCCAACATATCAAAGGTGGCAAATTTTCTCTTTCCCCAAAAATTACTGTAGCTATTCAATATTTCATTTCTGGCAAGTCTAAGTGATCTACCGTCCTAAGTTGTACGATCAAGAAAGAAGGCGGTTTGTCGCACAATCTCCAGTATGACAACTTCAGAACACTGTGTAGCCTGAAATGTAAGTAGAACGACGCCCCGCTCAACGTTTTTCGACTCAGTTCACGGAATCTCAGCGGCGTGAATCCCTTCAAGGAAATCAACAGCCTCGAAAAAAAAATTTTTTATACCCGCACAGCAGTTTGGAATTGCTCGTTGTAAAGATATCCGACAAGGAATTTGAGTCTCCTTCTCTTAAGGAAAGCAAAATACCTGCACAAGAAATTAACTGTAATTCAAGAAGGACACTTAATGACCATTCAAGTGAACAAAACGGAACTCCTGCGTCTGAATCAATAAATAAGTCCGCAGTAAATAGTCAGTCAATTTCGATAACCGTTTATGATTTTGGGTTGCGGAGAAAGACGCGTCGGTCGGTCAGTGCTTCCAACGTTTAAGATTCTGTGGCAGTGTCTGAACTTTGACAGAAAGTAATTAACTCTGCAGGTAAGTCCGTCAAGTAGTTAGCCCCAGGATATAGGGTATTCTTGGCAGACCCTAGGACCTTCGGTCGATCGATTGAGCAAGTAGTAGTTTTTTTTTGCCTTCTCTTCTGGGAGCATTCGTGAAAGCTGCCCAAATCATCGCAGCTGCAACTTCCCAATTTAAAGAAGCACAGGTTCTGTCGGATTGCTGAACTTCGGACTCTATCAAGGCTAGTGAGCTCAGCGAAAGCTGACAGCCATAAAGCTTACTTTTAGCCGGGATCCCTGTTTCTCAGTCACAGCCAATGACTCATGACCACAGGTCAGCATGAGGATGAACATCATAATGAAAACATACAGCATATGCTTTAGGCTCAGCCATGGCTTAGTCAAAACGGGTCAGGGAAGTCCATGGAAAACGCGGTAACTATTAAAATTCGATCTCTTCCTGCAATTTTCCATCATCATTAAACACAACCCCGAGGTAAGGCAAGTGAATTTGTCCACCTGTTCCACTGTTCTTGCATTCATCTATAGAACGTGGCTGATGGACAAACGAGGAAGAAAATTACGACCAGGAAGATGCAAAATTGAGCAGGAAAACAAGCCCGTTTACCAGAGGCAGCGAACCCCCAGGTCAATACCGTGATATGCAGCTTAAGGAACGGAACGTTTTGTTCTCTATCCAAAGCTGCTCGTGGGATCGGTCATACTGAACAACATACCTTCATTTACATCAGAAGGGTAACGAATATAGATTCGCCAAGATCGGCGTGCAATCCCCGCTTTGTAGAAAAGCCGAACTTGTAAATCTGACTCGAATCCGATTAAATCTATATTTTTAAATTTGCATTTACATCTTGTGCTAAATTTGAGAAAGCTGCAAAGTGGGTCAGGGCGAACTGCAGCAGGAAGGCACACAGACAGCATGGCCTTATGTCTCACTTTGGCAGGGCCACACAAAAACACCACGCTGTCGCAATTACAAATCAACGACCGCAAACCGTCTCTCGACTGGCTGCACCAAAGCAAAATAGGCTGAACTCCTTTCTAAAGGGAATTAGTAGTTAATAACAAAAAATTCAAGCCGTGTGTTGAGTGTGAACCGAACCTCTAACCTGCAAAGCAACTTAATCTTTCTTCCTGCGCCATTACCCCCTATTTTCACAATTCTGCTTTTCTACGTATTAAAAATCGAGCAACTGCGGGTAAAACAATGTACCAGCACTGCAAAGTGACTAAGGCAGACAGACAAACTAGTCAGTGTAGAAAGTGATCATACGAATCGATGCATTACTTCTACGGACCATCTATGGAGACAGAAATCAGGCTCGACGTAATTAAATTTTTGGCACTGGGAAAATAGCTAGCATACAAAACAGAAATCTTCTTAAGGATATGAACCGAATAATTTAATGAAATACGTGCCACCTTGCGATAATACTACAGACGGAATCATACGTGAACCGGCATAGTAGCTTATACTGTGTAAAACGTCTAACGGAAACCAAAACAATCAGCAAATGACCAGTCAGTAATTAATGCATTCAAAATCTACAAAGTAACACTCAAATGCAAAGATATACCTGATCACTTCAGCCAGTAATCACTCTTATCCAAATTGCACTTCAACACAGTATCAGAAATGTTGGCGCACAGGCTGTACAGTAATTGGACTAAAAGGTACAATTATACAAGCCAACAAATCAAAATATACCACTATGTCTCCTTTCGCAAAGATGGCGTTTTATCGTAAATGTTGGAGATTTTGGGTATAATAAAGGCATGCACGAACTTGTTCCGACAAGATAAAACCGGTAACAGCTCCAAAAAAGAAACAGAAATATGATATTCTTTCCTCGGCAAGACAAATTCAATAAGCTCCATCAATCAAGCATTCATACTGCAATTTTCAACCCTCTAAAAGTAATATTGATGCATATACCATCACGTCAAATATTCGGAATGAAACTTTATTATTAAAAATTGAGCTAGAATTGTCTTGAACATTAACATCGCTTAGTTATATTCGCTTTAACGAAACCGGTCAATAAATCAGCAGCGAGATGCTGATTTGCAAATGAAAAGGACAGTATCGTGATATTCTTTAATTACGCCCGTTGGTACAATTCATACCACCTTGCTCTCTGATGCGTTCGCTGTACCGTTATTGATACTGCCGCTAAGACGTATCAATAATTAGCAGTATGGTAGTAAGCCCATACAATCGAGCTTTATTTTTCTACGTGAATAAGTCTTAGTATCGCAGCATATTTTCACGTGTCCAAAGAAACTCTTGTTGAGCCATAACTAACGATGCGGTTTCGCAACCATGTGCCGCATGTACTCAAATACCACGAAACGAACGCCTGCTTGAACGGTTCCCTAGGACACTAGAAGCAAGTTGACGGTGCTTACACAGCTTCAATCAGCCATCAAAACTGAAAAGGATGAAACGCCTTACTCGAGTACTTTGCGAATACTTTACAAGCATTTAAAGAGAAAATATTCATTTCATTATTTTAGTATTAGTCCAGTCAAAAATTCTAGTCACTTCTTCACAAAGTCTTCTGCGCAATTCAAAGGTAGAATAATGAAAGTTCACAGCGAAAAAGATTTTCCGCTAAAAATCTCAGTCATTAATGTTCTATTAACATCTTCCGTTCTATCAGCAACTATTCAGCTTGTTGCAATTCCTCTGAAAAAAGGTTCGTTAGATAATTCGTTCATGGATAATGTAGTTTCAGTGTAAAAAATCACAGGCAAAATGAAAATTTACACTATTTGGATTGAACTAATAGATTACCGATGATATTCTGTTAATTAAAGGAAGAAGTAATGTTTTACTGCAAGCTAAATTAGCATAATATAGAATTATGAGGCAACATCTAACTCCTGAAGACGCGTACTTCCTCAATGCAGTCAATGATGAAGCTATTAAAGTACAGGAGTACCCAAATTAACAATGTTTGAAAATTTGGTTTCTCTGTATAGTTAGGTGATGTTCGCTGTTGCGAAAGAAATAAATGTTAATTACCAGTAATATCATAATCATCCTTTTTCTGCAAGAGTATGGTATCCACTTCTGTTTTCTGGGGATCATGTCCATCTTAATTCAGTGAACTTCTACAGCTAATCTTGTCGTCAATCGTTAGATTCTCCTATGATTCGGTTACCCTCTTTTGGAATCCAATCTCTTTGATCCAGCAGTCGTCGGTTCTCTTGCAACTCCTTCTGCCCGTTGCCACTTTGATTTCTTCACTCAGGTAATAACACTGCAGATTCCTCTTAGTGCTCCTATGTATTCGTCAACATTTTTACTCTAGTATGTTTCAACGTATTCCAGAGTGCTGAAGGACTTGATTACCTGGATAACCGGCTATTCCAGTAATCTCCAGAACATGACCGAGGATGAATACTGTAGGTTGCAAACGGCCCCACTGAACCTTATATCTATGCGCTTTTCTCCTCTCCCTAAAGATATCTAGTAGATACGGATACCTACTTTACTCAGAGACCAAACTACTGTTTGTTGGCTCAACGGCCGTGACGCTGATCTCACGCCGTTGCTGTAGTAGTGTACCCTGCTTTACCAGTCTCTTGTACATCTAATCCGTGGGAAGAGTAAATTAGTAAATTATAAAATCAGTGGATGACTATCAGTTAAAGAACCACTGGCAATGGTTTCCACTGAAATGAAAAAATGCTAGGTGACCAAAATCAAACACTTAAACAATAGACCATAACAGTGGCTCTTCGAACGGTACATTCATCCGTGTTTGCCGTACTGTAACGGGGTGACATACAGAAAGGTTTTCCGTACGCGGAATT